GTGAAAGCCTTATAATTATTTGCACTTCTGATTTGTAAGAGTCCAATAAATCTAGTTAATAATCCAAATCCAGTGTTTAGTCATTAGCACGTGTCAGTAAGAAAAATGTCTTCTTTTGATAAAACGGGTCCCAAAGAGTACCAAAAAATTTTCGCTGAAACACGGGGTTGTCAGATGAGAAATATGGGGAAACATTCAAAGTACGCCACGAGCATTTGTATCGCTGTCGTGAACAAGGAGACCTAGTCCCGCACTTTTATAGCCTCCCCCTCCGCCCACAAATCACGGGGAAGCTATAAGGGGGCATTTCGTACGGTCTCCATGCCATATTCTGCTATCAGTAATGATTTTATGGAGGTATACATCCTTAAAACCAATCATAGAGGCCACGCGTTATAAGGCATGAACCGTCTTGGCCCGCTCGAACATTGGGATCGTGGGTTCGAATCCCACTCGAGACATGTATGTCTGTGTGCATTTATTCTGTGTTTGTGTTGTTCTGTGTGTGACCTTGCGTCGGGATGATCCACGGCCGAAGGAGTCCTTCGACTGTGTACAGATTAAGAAAAAAAGAAGCCGCCAAGGCCCACAAGGGATGTAGAGCCATAAATAGGTAGATATCCGTAAAATGCATACGGCGGAAAATATTATTTTCTAGGCGAAATACTCTCACATTTTTTTTAAACCTTCACTGCACTGTTACAACAGAGCTGAAGTCATGACAACGCAACTTAAGGAACATCTTCTGTCCTCCGGATGTCATTCTGCAATACTGCTGATTGCGGTCCTACCACCTATCCCGGGAGCATTGACATATTGCAGGCTGTCAGTTGCTGGCTTGCAACCACGGAACCCCCGTTCGATCCCATGTTAGGACAACTGGGAATTCTGATGGACAACGCTGGGTTTCTCAGAATATTTCGGCTTCTTCCGCTTCTCATTCCACCAACTGCTCCAAGTTCATTAACCATCTAATCGACGTTACGTAGTCTCTATACTGAAAGCGTCGTTAAATAACCAACCAACACTTATCCAGAATGTTAATTAGACTAATGTCAATTACGCGATATTTTGCAATTTTAAATTTAACTTACAGATGGTCATCATTTCCTTTACCTATCTCACACTATTCGACTTACATAAAATGTCGGCCGCGCCATAGTTCAAGCGGTTAGTCGCTGGCTTCCCATCGCGGCGGCCGGGGTTCGATCCCGGCCCTTGTCAAGTGGGATTTGTGGTGGACAAAGTGGCGCTGGGGCAGGTTTTCTCCGAGTACTGCCAATCATCATTCTACCAATTGCTCCACAATCACCCTCACCTATCATCTGGGGCTGGTACAATAGGCCAGAAGTGGCCGCAGTACAAGGGACTTAGTCCCACCCCACTAGCAATAAAGAATATACAAAATGTCAAATATTTAAAGAACATTTAAAGATACTCTGCATACGAAACGGCAACGAATCGCACTGTGGCTGCGAAACCAGCAAAAACATGTTATTTAGATTGCGGTCTTGTGGGTTATGACGTCGTACAGTACCAAACTACATGGTGTCATAGCCCAGAAAACCGCAGTCTAAATCTTCACTGCTGTGGAACCTCGTGACTCATATAAATTTAATCATCTGCGGTGCGGTAGTGCAGACCACAAACTTATATTCTTGTAAGAAGTAGCATAAGCTTGGGCTCCGACATTTGCATGTATTTAGGAGGTGAATACTACACCGGACCCAGTCTCTACTCGCTGGAGTACAGAACAATTTCTACTTCAGGATGGAATTGAACCAAGCTCACCAAGAAATATCCGCATGTAAAATTTGAGGCTTTCACGGCGGTGACTATGAAAAAAGCAGTTTTCTGGGATTTGGCACCGTGTATATGTGGTGTTAACCGACGTTTTGGAGGAAAGTATCGCCTCCATCTTCAGGGTAGAGGAAAAAATATAAGAAATCTGCAAGAAATCTTATATTTTTTCTCCTACCCTGAAGATGGAGGCGATACGTTACTCCGAAATGTCGGTTAACACCACATATACACGGTGCCAAATCCCAGAAGACTGCTTTCTTCAAATATCCGCATGCTATAACTATTCAGCAATATTCCAGATCATAACCGTACTGCATACAAAAATAGAAGAATTATTAAAATTGCCGTAAAGTAGAGAACTATAAATGTTTCTTTAAAATATAACCAAGAGGTAGAAATAAAATTCAGGGACACCAGTCCGAATACAGTACCACTCCTAACACATTCACGGAGTGTCGGAGAATGGGAAGCCTTAAAGCGCGTCCACATTACTCGTGCTCGTGCTCGTGCTCGTCTGACTCGCTATGCTCGCGAGTAATGTTGACGATGTGACAAGTCACGAGACGAGCAAATTTTAAAATTTTAATTTAAAAACTACAGCCTATACACACTACGAGTAAATATACGGATCCTCACGCGCCGAAGGTTGGCGAGCAACTGAAGTAGTGTGGACGAAGATTTACAAGCACAAGTAAAAGCCAGATGAGTCTCCCGACGAACACAAGCCTGGCGAGCACGAGCACGAGCACGAGTAATGTGGACGCGCCTTATGATATATATAAACCAGTAATTTGTGTTGTATTTTATTTGTTTATGGTTTATTAACGACGCTGTAAGTAGTTCACACTGTAAGAAAACAGTCAAAGCTATGCCTGTAACAGGCCGTGGAAGCTCATAGGGTTGTGAGACGTAGATGCTCCCACATTTTCTAGACAATCGGCTCACAGTTGTTGGTGAGATTGTTCCCCTTACGCCCAGGCCTCCCCTTACCCACAGGAAGATTCCCGATACTCATTTCTGTTAGATGTTGAGTCGACCCCAGAGCCATTGTGCGGCTGGAAAGGTTAAGTCAATTGAAAAATGCAATGACCTTATCGGGAATCGAACCCGCTACCTTCTGGCTCGTATCAAAGTGCCTCAACCAACTACGATATCACGTGCCCCTAGCTCACACTATATAGCATTGAATGGCTGAATGATTAATGAATAATTAATTGGAAATAATGTGGAGGTAAGTGATAATATTCTGGTTTTAGTAAATATACAGGAATTTTCCTCGAAGGACTGGGGAATACCAATGTAAATCTCAACGTAATCTAAGTCCTGACCTGGAATCTAGCCGGGCACTGTACTTCAGGAAAAAAGGGATCTGCTCTTACTAGGTCGGTGGATTATTAATAAGTAATTTGCATGTGAGTTAAATTAATGTCTACAGAAGATACGTTAACTTTAGATGAATAAGAAGTCCTGGTAATTGCATACTTTCCTTTGATAGGGCACGGACAACAAAGAAAACGATGCCTGCAACAATTCTTCGTTTTCGCGGGGACGTGTTTACCGAGCCGTTTTCTAGCAAAAATGGAGCGATACACGGACCAGTCTAGCAAATTGTTGCTGGCTCTTTCCAACGAGGTTGTTCCTGGTTCCGAGTCCCTCGGAACTCATGTCCATACTTTACTCTCTTCAGGCTCTGGAAGCCTTCAGACCACCGATGCAGCAGTACATACACAGACAGGCCCAAAGACTCTCCTTTCATACGACACTGAACGTGTTGAAATCGGGGCGTTTGACAATTATTCTGTTGTTGCGTGTATTCATTGCAGCGGGAACATGTTTACAGAGACATTGCCCAGCAATGACAAAGGGATACACATACAGACACACAGACTGATTGGAAGGATTTATTATATATACCGTTGAGATGAACTCAGATGCAAACATACAAGTATACATACAAAGATTTTATAGATTGGCTTAGGCATTCAAAGGTTGATAGCGGGTCATACATAGACACACACAACTAAGGAGAGCACGCAGTAGCATAGTTGGTTGAGGCACTATGCTACAAATCGGAAGGTCACGGGTACGAGTCCAAATGGGCGATTTTTTCAATTTATTTAATGCAGCCAGCCGTACTATCGCCCTGGGTTCGACTGAGTCTCTAACATAAATGAGTATCAGGAATCTTCCTGGGGATCCAGGCCGGCCGGCGCGTAAGGCTAAGAACCCTACTGACATCTGTTAGCAGATTATCTAGAAAAAATGTGGGAGTCTCGATGTCTCACAACATTATTGGCCTACACGGCCTGTTACAGAGATACCTTAAAGGAAATAGTTCCTCAATTATCCTCACGAGGCTGAGTGGACCCCATTCCAGACCCACTACTTCTCAGAAAATCTGGTAACGCCGGGAATCGAACCTGGACCTCTGGACCTGTGGCCAGGAACTCTGACCAATAGCCCACAAGGGCGGTCCGGAAGTCCCAATCATTGATAACAAAATACAAAGACAGACACGTGGAAAATCTCTCTGTTCCACTGAACGTGAATGAGGCCCTTTCGCTTAGCTGGAACATTATTATTCTACACTTACTTTTGAAACACCTGGTATGAACGTTTCAGAGCAGCACTGTTGACTGCACTTATTATGAGTCGCGAACCTGTCATGTGGCTCCCGTGTTTCTGTCGTACTGATATTCATCCTACTCTGTAAGGAGCCCGACATGTGAATATGTCGCTCGGATGCTACTGATTGCAATTTGTGTAACAGTAAACTATGCTTAAACCCGAGGTATGTGTGTATCGCTCAGATGTTGTTGATTGTAGCCTGTCTAAGCGTAAAGCAGGCTCACATCCTGACACGTACATATTTCGCGCGGATGTTGGTTTTATCACGTCTTAGCGTAAACCAGTTTCAAAGCCCGACATGTGAAGGTTTCACTTGGATGTTATTGATTGTAACCTGCCTAAGCGTAAACCAGGCTCAGGCCAGACGTGTGAATGTTTCGCTCGGATGTTATCGATTGCTTGGAGGTTAGAAGCGGTTCGTCTCGGGACTGATGCCATAGCACATGGGTAGTACATTTGGCGAGTAATTGACTGCTGCGCACGCATCCGTCCCTTCCCCCCTCTGCACCCCGTTTTTGGCCGGGACTGGAATCCTCCCTCAGTGTCTTAGCAGCCGAACGTAAGCTCGTGTCACCCGCGGTTAGTAATTGGAGAAAGGTATTCAATCCGCTATTTCGATAGAAATATTGTGTTAAGTTTTTCTTAATCAGTTTTAAGTGTATGCATCTTGTAATGTTGTGTGAAGATTCCTAAGAAATGCTGGGTTTAGAATTTCTCTATAAGTTTGATGTCTCCGTAGTCGGTAATTCTGAGACGGTGAAATTGGGATGCCTTCTTGGAGGGAAAATACTCACGTACCGTGGGGATCTTATGACAGTGACAGGAAAATGATAAAGGTTGGTACTGCAGATCTGCATTTTGTCTTTCTTAGTTTTAGTGTCATGTTTCATGTATTGTTTTATTACGTCAGGGAGTCTTAACATGTGCTGGTGGCCCATTTCTTATTGGTTTTAATTAAGAGAACGATCATCCTATCAGAATGTACGCTTTTCTGTAACACGTCAATGTATTCTGATTCATTGTAGTTATGTATATTTGTCCTCAAGACAGTGCCCTGTCTTGTTCTTGTATCTTATAGATCAGGCATTGTTAAAACATACGACGTTCACTTTACAAATATGGTGGATTGCATACTTGTTTATGATGTTTAATGACTCATAGATTTCCACATACAATCTTTTGTCATTTGATATATAAACGTGAATAGTCCTGATTAATTTTGTATGCCGAAGAAATCCAGATACCGTAATTTGTAGGGTCAACTGATGGAAAGAACACATATTCAAATGCTGAGCCTGTGATTTTAACCGCAGACCTTGGGCTTGAACAAGTTTTTTCCTAATACACAGCATGATTAAATATATTTACCATACCAGATTTAGGATATTTTATTAGTTTCACTTGCTTGATTCTTCTTCCTGCAACATCTCATTCCGCACGGTATTTGTCATACAAACTTTGTGAATACTCACCGACCTGTCTGGACGATAGTCAAATGGGTAAAATTTGCCCTGCAGATACCATTACGCTTTTATGGAAAGTTATATTGGTGACCGGCCAATTTAGTCGAGTATCATCTGTAATTCAGTGCTGTCGTATAACGACATCTAGAAGAATGATGTGAAAATTATTTTGGCTGGAAAGATTTCGATGTATTAGAAGCTTCTTCACGCACAGGCTATGCTCTCAATTCAAGAAGTACACCGCGTTAGTGAACTTCGCTGTTTTATAGCTGTCGGTTTTGTATCAGTATTTCTCTGTGTTTGTAATCCGTCGTTATAGATTTCTGTTCTTTGCCAGCCACATTCAATGGAGAATTAAATTATGTCACAACCTCCAAATTGTGGAATTGTCCTTTAATTCCAGCTTATGCTCCAAATGATACACTTGCAATTCTCGTCAAGTACTACACCCAGAAGCGGTTAATGGCACAGGGGAAGTAGGCCACGGCCTAGGGCCCCACTCTAGGCGGGTATGCAATTTTCTAGCATGAGAGGGTTGAAGGACCCCTAAGATTTTTAGTGTAACAAGAACACTGTATGAAGGTCTTAGTAACTAATAAAGCTTCTAGCACACAACGGCATAATGAGGAGCTTCATAACTCGTACTCTTCTCCAAGTATAATTAGAATGATCAAGTCAAGTAGGATGAGATGGACAGGGCATATAGCACGAATTGGGTCCTGGGGCCCCGCAAATTTTTATATCTCCTCCACCTATGTGGCAGATGTTAGATTCTGAATAGTAGATGCGCTTTTAATTGATTACTATACTCATAAATGTTGAGTTTAAGTTCAGTGCGTTTCGAACTGTTGAATCTGCTCAGTGAATAACAGGTGTAAGCAAGTTTTACTCAGAAATAACCGTATTAGAAGGGACAAGTATTTATGTAAATATCATAGTTGGAGCTACAATTATAGAGTTTTACGTCTGAATTGAAGACGTCATAATGGAAATACAGGGCTAATGATGAAAACATATTTTATGTCTGTAATAACCACGTCAACAATAAACAAGTTTTGCAAACTAAAATAAACGAAAAGGACAACAGGATATTGGGCTTATACCATCTGAATGAAACCAGCCATGCTCTACACTCGACCGCCTATGTGGTCTAGTGGTCAGAGTTCCTGCCTACAAATCCAGAGGTCCGGGCTCGATTCTTGGCCCTACCAGATTTTCTGAGAAGTAGTGGGTCTGGAACGGGGTCCACTCAGCCTCGCGAGGATAACTGAGGAGCTATTTCAAAGAAATAGCTGCTTCGGCCTAGAAAACCGAGATCAACGGCCGTGGGGAACCGTTGCGCTGACCAATTGACACCCTCTATCCGCAAAGAGTTGGCACTAACTTCGTCGACAAGCGGCGGGCGCTCTGTCGGTATTGTTCGCTTGCAGGCAGCGTGCCACGGAGTTTGTTTGTTTATGCTTTACACTCAGCGCCACACACTTGACCTATGATAGAGAATTAAATCGAAATATGAGTTGGGAAGAATACTGGGCATACAATGTACCCTTATTATACTTCACTTGCACTTAAAATATCGCGGATATTTAAAAAAATGATTCGGAGGTCCGTGAAATATTAGGTTTGCGCAATCAGTAGCATCCAGTTGTTCATCATAGTGGAGGTAATTATGCTAACAGAGATTGATGTGAATATTACAACTACAAGTTTGACAAGGTTTCTACTTGAAACTGGAAACACCTGATCCCACTAATTAAACAGACACTCATGTTGTAAATCATTTTGTCGACAGGGAGTCGAAGGTTAGGAGCCAGCGTTGCAGTGAATAAATTTTGTAAAATTGTTTAATTTGGGAGGTAAAATCGGTGTGCAGCTAGGAAACAGATACAATAAGCAGCAAAATAAGATTTTAGTTCAACGAATCAGATATTAGTTTACGAAGCTATAGGGGAAAAGTTACACGACTCAGTTCCATTGCTCAAAACATGTCAGAAGGGTGTTGAACAGACATGTAGGACTATAAGTCCACATACAATATTCCTAGATGGAAATGGGATACAACTTTTAAATTTCTCTTAGTATTTACTAGTTTTCTGTAAGAAGTTGATTTTTAAAAAAGAGAAGCAAAAAGGATAAAAATTGCTGTCATGTGCTTCCTTTAAAAAAATTCATAACAGTACTTTCTTGAAGCATGTGGTGACAGTATTTATGGTTTTTTATAGTACTGAGAAAAAAATTTCTTTGGGCGTTCTGAGAACAACGAAAGATATTCAGTATATATCCAGCTCCACGAATACTTTCGTTATCTATCAGATTGTAGTTTGTGGTTCGGTGATTAAAATATTGTATTTTGTGGTTCGGTGATTAGAATATTGTGCTGTAAGCAGAACAGAAATTGTTCCATTCGTTAGATTTCATCGTCAATATTGGAAGAAAGATCTTTGAGGTTTTCATGGCGGTGACTATGGAGAATTCTGTATTGTGGAATGTGGGGTCGTGTAGATATTGTGTGAACCGACGTTTCGGAGGAACGTATCGCCTACACCTTCAGGGTAGAAAAATCCACGAACGAGGAGCCAGCGTGAGCAGGTGGCTGCCACCTGCTGTTGCTGCCTCGTCACCAGAATACAGAGCGGAATTATAACATAATGAGAGCAAACAGATGTTCTGAAAATGTGGCACAGTTCAGATATTTTGGGAACGACTATAGCAAATCAAGACCTGAGTCATGAGGAAATTAAGAGGAGATGGAATTCGGGTAATGCTTACTACCATTCAGTCCAGAACATTTTGTCTTCCCGTCTCTGACATTAAGGGAGGAACATAGATTAAGGGTGTTTAGGCCAAGTGTGTTGAGGAGAATATTTGGACCGAAGAGAGATGAAGTGGCAGGAGTTTGGAGAAAACTGCATAATGACGAGCTTCATAACTTGTACTCTTATCCAAGTATAATTAGACCGATGAAGTCAGTGAGGATGAGATGGGCAGGGCATGAAGCGCGAATAGGAAGAAGAGGAGTGTATATAGGATATTGGTGGGAAAGCCAGAAGGAAAGAGCCAACTGGGAAGACCAAGGCGAAGGTAGACTTGGACAATATTAAAATGGATCTTAGAGAGATAGGATGCGATAGATTAGGTTTATCTGGCTCAGGATAGGGCTCTTGTGAACACGGTAATGAACCTTCAGTTTTCATAAAATGCTGAGAATTTCTTGAGTAGCTGCACAATTTGCGGCTTTTCAAGAAGGGCTCAGCTCCATGAATGAGATTTTCTTCACTACACGTATACTCGGTTTTACTGCAATTACAAGTATTTGTGGAATTTTATCACCGCTCACTTCTGTTGTTCTGTGTTGCCCTCTACGTTCGCGTCCACTTGTGACTGCTTTTCGCCCGACTTTTCGTCACTTATTAGTTCTTTTACCGGTATCCCTTCCTTCCGGTGCTGCGGCTCACCTGTGCCTCGTGTCTGGACGCCTCCACTGGAGTTACTGCCCTCCTCCCTCTTCTCGTGGATGGCAAGAAGTTAGTTGCGAAGGGAGGAGAATTGTGGTTGCTGGTGCTGGTAGGCGGGAGTTCGTTTCCTGTACTACCATTAGGTGTCTCGCAAGTAGGGAAAACGGGAGTATCTGGGTTCTGCTCTGTAATGAGTAGAGATGAGTTCTTATCCAGGGTCATATACGGGCCTGGCTCAGGCAGGGCAGGAAGATTCTTACGCTACAGTCACATACACCACTTCAGGATTTTGCACTTAGTAATTGTTTAATTCACCCCAGCTCACTGAATACAACGTAATCTATTAGTAACACTTATTTTGATTTTAACTTATAATACTTTTACGGAAGGGACGTAGTTGTATTTTGTGTCTGACTTGGCCGAATGTTGAATGAAGACTCCTTGAGTTGGAATGCACTCTCTCTGAATCCTGTGATCCACGAACCACAGACTCCAAGAGAAATCCACTCCTCCACTTTTGTCATTGGTTAAGTTTTCAAACTAGGAGTTCCCCAAAATTTGTGAATTTCCAATCATGTTGCTTTGCTATGTGACTGTGGCAGTTGCTGACCTGACGCTAAGGTTGACAGCAACTTGATGCATTACGATCAGGGGATGAGGCTCCGGCCCTCCCACTTCTAAATTATAGCTGTTCCAAACTGTCAGCTCTCAAATTCTCAAAGACTTTCCGACTTTGCTGAAACTGCCAGAATTGCAGGAAAGTACCAGATGTTGCTTCCTGTCCACATAGCAAAACTTGAACTATGTCCCTTCTGCGTGTAAGAGTTGACTATCTGCCGGATCTCTTTGTATTTACGTGATATTAACTTAATATAGATTTAATTAATACAAAATAGTCCACCAAATTATGATGAACGG